CTTCAAGCTCTGGGGACAACAGCAGATATGCCAGGTGGGGGCTGGTGGGTGGGCACAGCCAGGCCTAGTGCGGTGCTCTGCCCACCTCAGCTGTGGCTGCAGCTCACCCTGCCCAGCAGGCAGCAGAGGGCTTCAGGGCTCAGCTCCCGCCAGCAGCGCTCTGGCTGTGCAGGCCATGGGTGTGGCCTGCTCGCCTGGCTGCTGGCACCCTGTGTAGCCCGGCCTGGAGGAACTCTTTCCTTAAGGGGGCCCCAGAGAGCCACATAAACCCTGGTATGGAAATGGGCTCCTTCCTCTCAAACTGTAGCCTGGGCGCCTGAGCACGTGGGTGTCCGAGCACGTGGGCGTCCGGGCCCGCCTTCGGCCCACCTGGCCCTGCAGGGGCGGTGGGAAGCTAACGAGGCTTGTCTTCAAGGAGACAGTGAGTCACTTTTACTCTGCTCGCTGTGAGTGCACTTTTTTCTGAGTTAAGTCTATAATTGGAAGGTGCTGCCTTCCTGTCTGCACAGAGGAGAGTGGCAAGGAGTCACGAGGAGGCTGGCTGGTGTGTAGGCCTGTCCCCAGCTGGAACTGCAGTATCCATGCTTGGGCCCTACAGAAGCTGGTCTGCGACGCTGGTCCACCCCAGCTCTGTCCGCGCCATCTCTCTACCTGGCCTCAGGACTTCCTGAGCTCTTTGCAGTGTCTCAGCCTCGAAATGGGTTTGGAGGCAGCCAGGAGCCACTGAGGCAGAAGAGAAGCTCCCTGTGCTTCCTGCTCCCGCCTGCACCTGGAAAACCTTGAAGAATGCCAGTGCTGGGACTGTCCGCCAGCCCAGTTAAATCAGGATCACTGGGGTGGGAGCTGCACACAGTGCCTGTGAAAAGTCCCCAGCTGACTCTGGTGTGCAGCCACAGCTGAGAAGCACTGATCCTGTCTGGCTGGCACAACTGGAGGTTGAGACTTTCAGGGGCAGACTTCCTGCAGCCTGCCGCCACCTGCACGCAAGTCACCTGCATGTCTCACTGAGATGCGGATTTGACCCAGCAGGCCTGGCCTGGAACTTGGAATCCTGCATTTCAGCCATTGGCCGGACCATGCTGCTGGTCCAGGGACCATACTTGGAGCAGCGACGCTTTAGAGGAAGGGTCTACAACTCAAGTATGCAGCTGAGCCACCTGCAGGGTGAGTGCTGGGCCCACTCCCACCTGAGTTTCTGACTCAGGAGAAGTTGTGGTTGCTGCTGCTGCTCCAGGGACCACACATGGCTTTAGAGCATCCATGCAGGGTCTGGCTTTCTATGGCCACTGGGGGCCAGTGTGTCCTGGGCACCCACATGGCCTGCAGGGGGCGCTGAGCAGTCCCACCGGTGGGAAGCAGTTGGGGGTGGGAGGAGGTGGTAAAGCGTCTGGTGACTGCACCTTACACAAGGGGGCTCATTTCATCCTCCCAGCGAACCTCTGAAGTAGTGCTCCTTGTGCCCATTTTATAGATGAGGAAATGAAGGCTCCGAGAGGCTGAGGATCCTGACAAAGCCATGACAAGTGGCCAAGCCAGGCTCAGACTGAGACCTCTTTGTCTGCTGCTGCAGCTAGCCTGGCTTGCGTCCTGCACAGTTGCAGTCTAGCTCTGTGATATGCGGTGGTAACAGCCCTCTGTGCCTTGCCCTCATGTGGAGAATAACCGGTTCTCTTGGGAGGTTACTGTGACGAGTAGATGGATTACTTAGTTCTAGCACTTAGTGTCACTCATGGCACATACTAAGTACTCAGCGTCTTAGCTATGGTTTTATTATGTTGATTGCAATCGCTGTGTGTTTCCTCCCAGGCTGGGGTCCAGAGTTCTTGGTGCTCGGCTCTGAGTGGCCCCTTCCCTGAGAAGGGGGCCAGTGGGGACAGGGGGTATGGACACACAGGTGCATGGCCACAAGTCACAGTTCCTGTTCTTGCTTAGATGGAAGAGGAGGACCCCAGGTGCAAGAACAGAGAGACCACAGGGACGGGTGGGGGTGGCCAGCAGGGGCAGTGCTGTTGCCACCCCATCTAACAGTTGAGCCTGTTGCAGAGCTGGGATTCCAACCTGAAGGTGCTCTTCATTCCTGCCAGGAGGAGCCATTTGGGGAATCTGCCTCTCCACTTGGCACTGAGCCCTGGAGACCCTCCTCAAAGTGCTCCTTGTCTGGGCAGGGGCGGGTGAAGGAGGGACTCTGGCAGCATCCCCAGGACCTTCAGGAGCTTGATATGGGGGTTGGGGGAGACCCTGCATTGGGCAGCATCCCCAGGTGGGTCTCAGAACAATCAGGACAAGAAGATCCTGGGGCACCTGCCCTCACCCCTTGGGCTGGGTGTGCAAGTGTGAGCTAACAGTATAATGCCCACCAAACTGAGAACGTATCCTGAGACCAAAGAACAAAGCGGACAACTCCCTATGGTTTACAAGGAGTTTATTATTATTATTGACAGGTTGTTACTTACAGGGACTGAGCCATCTGAGTGCTGTGTGGCTGCTTTCTCCTCAACCTCGGAGGGGAGGAGTTGAGGCTTATAAGGGACTCAGAGACAAAAGTGGGGCTATGTCAGAGAGAAAGGCTGCAGAAGTGCAAAATTCCCAGGCCCCTCACAGCCTTCTGTTGCTTATCCTTGGGGTTGTTGGCATCATCTTACACAAGCATAGCATTCTGTTCCTTTTCATTCCTCAGTTGCTAAGCAACTTGAGCATGGGAAAAATTGTAACAATTGAAGCCATAACTCTGAAGGCCATGAGAGTGAAGTGAATTCTGACCAGAATTCCTACACTAGGGTGGTCTCACATGGACCCTTCAGGTTCTGCAGATTCTCAGAGGGGATTCTGATCCCCTGCTGAACCCCTGCCTGCCTCAGACACCACTACCAGTTCACCTCTTGAGGCCCCCACCCTTGAAGGTGACCTTTTCTAGCTAGGATCTCTCATCCCCTCTCTGGCAGCAAGGCCAGTGGGCCGAGCCTCCAGGTTGTCTCCTGGTCTCCCAGGCAGGTCTCCCCAGCACTGAGGTGGGTTTCCTTGCAGGCTGGACATAGGGTGGCCTTGCCCTGTGGGGCACCAGCCGGAGCTGCATAAGTTAGTGGGATATGAGAGTGTGTCCCCACACAGCACCTCTTGCCCAGGGCACCCTGCTGCCTCTGCAGCAGGAGAGGCCAGTGGCTTGGAAAACGCTATCTCTGATGACCCTAAGAGCTTGGAGTGAGGGCCCAACTGACCAAGGTTACCACCCACCAGTCACCTTTTGAACCCAGAACTATGCAGTCTTGTGGAAGTTATCCCACAGTACACAGGCCTTGGGTGAACTGCTGGGGTCTGTCCACTTTTTTATTTCACGTACAAATGGTTACTGAGCACCACTGTGGGCCGGCAGGAGGACACAAAGGCGAATAATACAGCCACTTCTGGCCTTGTGGGTCAGCAGTCTAGGATTAACCAAGGAGGCTTCCTGGAAGTGGTGACACCGGGGCTGGACTTAAAAATCCTAGAATTTCTTTACTTGAGTTCCTTCCCCTTGGGCCTCAGTTTCACCATCTAAAAAATGGAGCATTTGCTCAAGTCAGTGGTTCTTGAGCTTGAGAGGCAGCAGAAGCCCCTGGAGGGCTTGTTTTAAAGCACAGACTTCGGGCCAGGCTGGGTTCCTGATGCAACAGGTCTGGGGCTGGGCCTGAGAATGTGTGCTCTGATATGTGTGAGGTGCTGCTGTGGGCCTCGCTCTGAGGAGAGTTCTGTGAGTCTGGAGCCGCACCCCATCTGGAATGAGGGTAGCACTGAGCCTGGGGACTGGACCTTTCACCCCCGCCTCCACCCATCAACTTTCCTCCTTGCAAAGGATTTCTCAAGAATTCCAAGGAGGCCTTGTGGCATTTGTACAGTGGGGTTGGTGCCTGCTTGTAAAGCCCCTGGAGGGCGGCAGCTAATGTATGCTCTGCACAGTGGGGAAACTGAGGCCACAATGGCTCAGAGGCTTGCCCCCAGTCTGCAAGGCCAGTAACCAAGCACGTGGGGGCTGTGCCCACTAGGAAGCTGCTCCGCCCGCTCAGACATTGGCATCTCATGGGCACTTCAGATCCCACGTGTCCAAAACCAAGTTCCAGATTTTTCACCAAACCCTGCCCTCATGCTCTGCCTCATGGAGGTCAATGGCTCGGCCGGAGACCCTCCCTCACAGTGTCCGGAGTCGATCTTACACCCCTCCTCCTTCTCACCTGACCCGACAGCCTCTTTGTGGGTGGTGGTGAAACCCACCAATTGGCTTCCAGACGCCTGCCTTGCCCGCTCTCTCTGGTCTCCACACTGTGGCCACACCAGGTCGGGTCGCTGTGCTCGGAGCCCTGGCTCCCCACTCCCGCTGCATCCTGGGCCCTGGGCATGCGCAGTCAGCGTTAGTTCTCAGACCACTGCCCCTGCTCATCACCTCCACCCATGGGGCCTCAGGGCCTTGGCACGTGCTGTCCCTCATGTCTAGAATGTTCCTTTGTTCTTTTTGTATCCCTGGGGTCTGCATAGCTAATGCTATCAGTTGTTCAAATGCCACCTTACTCCAGGCTGCCTTGACTACCTGCCACTGGTCCCTGCACCTCCGTGGTGCGTTTTCTGCATGGTTTCTCTTTTCCCGTTGGTTGTAAACGGGGTCTGCATAGCTAATGCTATCAGTTGTTCAAATGCCACCTTACTCCAGGCTGCCTTGACCACCTGCCACTGGTCCCTGCACCTCCGTGGTGCGTTTTCTGCATGGTTTCTCTTTTCCCGTTGGTTGTAAAACCCAGGAGGCAGGCTCTGTGTGTCCTGGCCCCTGGAATGAGGTGTGGTGAGCACAGGCAGATGCTGAGGAAACATTTATCAGACACACAGCAGCTGGGGACCACCGGGGAGCCCACTTGCTGGTGCTGCTGGCGATCCCCATGCACTCTTGCAGGCACCAGGCTGTGCCCACCTGGGAGGAGGGCCTTTTGGAGCCACCTTTGATGCCTCATGACCGCCTTCTTCTCTCTCAGGGAACTATGCCCCAGACATCCATCGTCTTCTCCAGTATGCTCGGACCCAGCTGTAGCGGACAGGTGCAGCCCGGCATGGGGGAGCGGGGAGGCGGGGCTGGCGGCTCCGGGGACCTCATCTTCCAAGACGGTCGCCTCATCTCTGGGTCCCTGGAAGCCTTGATGGAGCACCTGGTCCCCACAGTGGACTATTACCCCGATGTGAGTGCCTGGGGCTGGGGGTGGTGCTGGGGGCTGCCTGGGCTCCAGGAGAGGCTGCTTCTGGAAGGGGGAGGGAAGCCCAGACAGAGCTGCAAAGCTGGACAGAGCAGCGGGAGCCCAGCTCCACCTCCTGTACCTTCTTCGCCATCTACTCCTACCTAGGCAGACAGCCTGGAGGAACCTGCAGTGACTTCCTGCTGTGGCCCCCAGGCAGGTGGAGATGGCCCTGGTGGCACAGAAAGCAGAGACACACGAGGGCCGAGCAGGGGCCTGAGTTCAGGGCAGGGCCCTGGGGGAAGAAGAGGAATTTAAAAGGCAAGACCAGCACTTAGGGTCCTGGAGCCCGAGGCTGAGCTGGGAGGCCTGTTTTGTGCATAAATCCTGTGATCCAGAAGGGCCTGAGTTCAGGGCAGGGCCCTGGGGGAAGAAGAGGAATTTAAAAGGCAAGACCAGCACTGAGGGTCCTGGAGCCCGAGGCTGAGCTGGGAGGCCTGTTTTGTGCATAAATCCTGTGATCCAGAAGGAGTGCAGGATGCAGGGCTCTTCCACTACGACCACCCCTCCCTCTCCACCTCAAGATGGCATCGTATGTTCTTGGAACAGAGAAAGGATTCCCTTGTCATGAGTGCTTCCCTTCCACTTCTGCTGGATGCTGTCGCTTACAACAGTGGCATCGCGGGCCTGCCTGCTCCCTTCTGTGAGCTGAGCATCCCTCCTCTGGGAGGGCCGGTCCTGGCCACACTGCGCCTGCCCTCTCCCTCTGGAGGGCAGAGTGGTGCTTGTGGGCCCTGGACAGTCACACCCAACTGCAGGGGAGGGTGGGCGGGAGGAGCAGCACCCTCCAGCTTCCACCTGCGGCAACAGCTCAGCTTCCCCACCCGTCAGCCTCCTGTACCCTCCCGGGGCCCGGGGAGGGACTGGCCTTTGCATTGTCCACCGCCCCATCTGTCCCTCTTACCTTCCATTAGCCCCATCAAGGCCTGGCTGGGGCTGATGCCACTGGTGCAGACTTGGCTGCTGAGTGCCCAGGGGGCAGAGCCAGAAAGAGGGACCCGAGGTCATGAAGAAGCCTGGGGCAGGACTGCGGGCCTCCATGCCCAGTGGGGCAGTGTCCTTGTGTGGCAACAGGAGGCCCACCCCTCTTATAGGCCAACACTAGAGGAGCTGCCTTAACCAGCTGTCACCCAGGGTCATCCCCAGAACCCTGTGTCCTGGGATCCCAACCTGCTTCCTGGCAGAGAAGAAGGGATGGCAGGGGCGGGAAGTAGGGCAGGAGAGTCCAGCTGGGCATCGGCTCTTCATCAAGCTCCTTGGTCTCTTCCCCCCGTTCCCTCCCTTCCTCCAGCTACGTACACGGCAGGCGCACGCACGCAGTCTCCTCCCTTGGGTGCTCCTGCCTGTCTTACCTGCTGACTAGGACACTTGAGCACCCATGCCGCACAGCATGGGACAGGTTGTAGGACATTTGTGGGGGGCTACAGGAACCCCTGGTCTCTTCCCACACAGAGGGCTACATGGGGATAGCGAGGGCCCCGGTCCCCAGTCCCACTCCAGGAGGCCTGCACTCCCAGCAAACGCTGCCGGGCCTGCTTCAGGCTGGAGCAAGGAGAACCTGGGCTGCCCAGCCTGCAGCAGTCGTGTTGGGTCAGAGCGAGGTCGGAGTAGGGTAGAGTCCCTCTTGAGAGCCCTGAGCAGCCACCTACACCTTCAAGTCCACCCTATCTACAGGTAGGGATCAGTGTGAACACCCTGCAGGCACCGACCCATAGCAGACAAAAGGCTGAGAACCCCTGGCCACAGGCCATCTTCTGTGCTGCATTTTAGTCCAGACTGTGAGGATCCCGGTAATGAGGGCACCAGGACTTAGGACGGAAGGGCCCTGGTGTGGCAGTTGGGGCCAAGGCCCACAGCCGGTCAGAGAAGCTGCCTGGGTCCTACAACAGTTCTTGACTCCCAGATCCACCAGCTCTGCCCCACTCACCCACCTACTCTGCCTACCCCACCAGGCCATACCCACATGGGCTAGGCCACGCCCCACAGACCCACTCTGCCCTGTAGGCCACGCCCCTGCCAGCTAGACCCGCCCTCTGACCCTGGGCAAGACTCACCCGGCCCACACAGGCCTGGAGAGCCCCACCAACCTCCAAGGGTAGGTTTAGCCCCCATTGTGGGGTGGGACAGAGGTTTTGGAGAATCCCAGAAGAACAGAACTGCTGGGAACAGTCAGATGGCTGCTGGAAGGTGGGGTTTGAGCTGTGCCTCCAGGGTGGGCAGGGCTGGGGTTAGCGGTGAGAGAAGGAAGGGCTGACAAGGTGAGCAGGGAAGGTGTGGCCGCCAGATGGGGAGCAGCAGCTGCGAGTCCCCTGGGGGGCCACCACCAGGCCTGACCGGCTCTTTGTCCTTTCTCCCTGTGTCCTTTCTACAGAGGACATATATCTTCACATTTCTCCTGAGCTCCCGGGTCTTCATGCCCCCCCATGATCTGCTGGCCCGTGTGGGGCAGATCTGCTTAGAGCAGAGGCAGCAGCTGGAGGCCGGGCCTGAAAAGGTAAGACGTGCTGAAGGGATGTGATCTGTGCCCCTGGCTATCCTCCCGCCCAGACTTGGAGAGAAGCCTGTTCAGAGTCAGCTGGCAGGACGGGGTGTGGCTGAGCAGGGCCCTGATGGTGCACAGTAGCCTGGCTCTGGACTCGGGCACACCTGGGATGTGCTCCTTGGGTCCAGAAGGGTGTGGACAGAGCAGAGCTCTCCTCCCAGGCTGCTGGAAGGAACTGCTGTTGGTGGGCACTTGCATCCCCTCCCAGGGAAGGGTCCCCATAGACACAACCCTGCCAGCCCTCCTGGTCAGTTCAGGGAAACCCGAAATGGGGCCCCCTGCTGGACGGCAGCTGGGAGGAGCGGCTGCTGGGAGCCAGGGCCGGCGGAGAGAGGCTCCATGAGGCTCCGCGAGGAGGCGCTGACAGCCATCACTTGGGGACCCGGCTGGGGGCAAGGGCGTGGCCGGGCCAGCCCTCTTGAGAGAGTCGCAGCCGAGCGGGATGGGCACCCCTGTCCCCTCAGCTCGGTGCTGGGGTGTGGCCGCGCTGCTCGGGCTGTGCGCAGGTGAACCCTGCACCCAGCACGACAGGAAGCTGCACATCACCTCCTCCTCTGGGTCACACACCACGACCCCTTCCCAAGCACTTGCCCGCCTGGTTTTGACCCAGAAGGGGCAGGTGAGAGTCTCGTTTACCATTACAAGTTCGCTTGGTTTTTATTGTGTTTTCTATGGGTGACTTCTGATTATAGCAAATGAAACTAGTTTCCTCTGTCCTAGTAGTGATGGGGTAGGTTTTGTAAAAACAAATTTAAATGAAAGAAAGCCGACTTGAACAGGAAACACGCAGGAGCTGTGTAGTGCGGTGCAGCTGCAGGTGCACACAGCCCGGTAACCGCACGGATGGGCGGGGCCGGGGCCCTTGTCTGCCGTCTTGTGGCCCACTGTGGCCTGTGGGGCCTCACTCTGTCCCCCACTGCCACAGGCCAAGCTGAAGTGCTTCTCAGCCAAGATCGTGCAGCTGCTGAAGGAGTGGACAGAAGCCTTCCCCTACGACTTCCAGGACCAGAAGGCCATGGCGGAGCTGAAGGCCATCACTCACCGCGTCACCCAGTGTGATGAGGTGAAGTCTCCTTTCCATGGCCAGGCTCCCTGGGTGTGTCGGGGCATGTGTCCTCAGGAAGGTGGGATCTTCCCTTCCCCTGTCACTCACCCAGGACGCTTGCTGGGCGGCTCCATTCGACTCCCTCCACCCGCCAATGACAGCTCAACTGGCCAGACATGGCTAGACTGTGTGCGGGGACCAGGCCTTTGGCACCCATGTCCCTGGAGCGGGGGACTTTTTGAGAGGTTGTAAGAGTCTGACGGCCTTTCCTGGCTCCCAGCTCACTCTTGGCGTTTGGTGGAGACAGGAAACCTGAGGAGTAGACAGGGAGCCTGGGCCAGCTGCGTCCCCACAGTGGAAGAGCTCCATGTGCTCAGCAGCTCCCGTTTGCCTGGACGGCTCAGGCAGCCCAGGGACCCCAGCTGCCCCCATCTAGGGAGCAGAGGCTGCTGGCCCAGAAGAGGTCCTTCCTGATGCCCTGGTCTGTTCTGTGGGTCCCTCCTGCTTCGGGAAGGCAGCGAGAAGCAGAAGCTGAGACCTGGCCCTGCTCTCAGCCCCCTTCCCCAGCAGGACAGCCCATGCTCCCCAGCAGCCTTCAGAGGAGCTCACAGTGTACCCTGCTCTGTCATCAAAGGTGTAGAGGCTCGTGGCAGGTTAGGGTGGGAAATGTGGGCTTATCAGGCATGTTCCTGGAGATGAGATGGGTCTCTCCATAGTGGTGGTGGCCTTGCCACCAGCCCACACCAGCATCCTCATGGCCCACTGACCCCCTCAGGAGAACGGCACGGTGAAGAAGGCCATTGCGCAAATGACTCAGAGCCTGCTGCTGTCCCTGGCTGCCCGGAGCCAGCTCCAGGAGCTGCGGGAGAAGCTCCGGCTGCCAGCTGTGGACAAAGGGCCTGTCCTCAAGGCCAAGCCACCGGCTGCCCAGAAGGACATCCTGGGCGTGTGCTGTGACCCCTTGGTGCTGGCCCAGCAGCTGACTCACATTGAGCTGGTCAGTGCTGCCATGTGCCCTGCCCAGGTGGGGCGGGGGTGCATTCCGCGTGGCTCATCTAGGGCTGCCGGAGCCCAGGGTCCCTCTCAACACAGGTCTGCAGGGCTCCCGCCAGTCAGACTGGGTTGTCAGGGGAAGTGGGCTTGCCAGCCCTGACTGCTGTGCCTCAGGCCAGTGTGTGTCCATTTGGGCACCTCTGCACTTGGCGCCTGGGTCTGCAGGAGCACGGCAGCCCTGCGTGAATGGGAGTGGCTGGGTTGAATCATCCTGAGGTGGGACTGCAGTTGCCCCCGGATCGAGGACTAGCCCAGGAGGTGGCAGAGGGCTTGTGCCCTGGTCACGCCCCCACTGCCCCCGAGGCAGTGGCTGGGTTGAATCATCCTGAGGTGGGACTGCAGTTGCCCCCGGATCGAGGACTAGCCCGGGAGGTGGCAGAGGGCTTGTGCCCTGGTCACGCCCCCACTGCCCCCGAGGGTTCTGCCACACTCCCGTGCAGCTTGGTCTCTTGCCCCCCAGGGGAAGCTTGTCATCCTCCCTTGCCCTCTCCCCATCCCCAGGAGAGGGTCGGCAGCATTCACCCCGAGGACCTGATGCAGATTATCAGCCACATGGACTCCCTGGACAACCACAGGGTGAGTGGGCTGCAGCCACGGCTGAGCCTGAGGCCTGCACCCCCTGTAGGGGAGCGTGGGCTTCACCAGATGCTCAAGCACCTCCAGGGTGTCGGGCCCTGAGACCCAATGGACGTGGCACTGGCCCTCCTGGTACCTGCTTCAAGGGGTGGGCAATGACCACACAGGATGAGCATGCTGGCAGGGCTGGATGTGTCCTGCCGAGGTCCTCTAGGCTCCCCGTGACCCGCTGTGCGCCCCCCCGCCCCCCAGTGCCGAGGGGACCTGACCAAGACCTATAGCCTGGAGGCCTACGACAACTGGTTCAACTGCCTGAGCATGCTAGTGGCCACTGAGGTGTGCCGGGTAAGTGCACCCCATGTCAGGCCCGGGCGGGTGGCTGCCCCGTCTCTACCCTAGGAGGCTCCGATTCCTGCCCCGCCTCATGGGAGATGATGGAACCTGAAAGTAAATGCATGAAGTCTCCATTGCCAGAGCTTTGGTGGTGCCCCCCGGCCCCATCCAACTGTGGAGTGTGCCCTCTGCCAGTGCCTCCAGGGCAGACAGCTCCTCCCTTTTGTGGCTGGGTAGGGTGCATGTCTGGGCTTCCCAGGCACAGCCGCAGCATGGAAGCTCAGTCCTGCGGTTCTCCCTGCCTGGCGGCCCCCTGGAGGTGCCATACTGAGGCCTCCCACCACCTTCAGGTGGGAAAGAAGAAGCAGCGCACCCGCGTGCTGGAGTTCTTCATCGATGTGGCCCGGGAGTGCTTCAACATCGGGAACTTCAACTCCATGATGGCCATCATCTGTGAGTGTCGGGGCCCAGGCCGGGGTGCTGCCACCTGGCCTGCCCCACACTGACCCCGTCGCTGTTCCCCGCAGCCGGCATGAACCTCAGCCCTGTGGCACGGCTGAAGAAAACATGGTCCAAAGTCAAGACAGCCAAGTTCGACGTCTTGGAGGTAGAGCCCCAGCCCGTGCCAGGCCTCGTGCCCCCTCGGGTGGGGCTCCCCGCCGTGCCCGCCTCCCCGCTCCAAGTGCGCTGCCTGGGCGCAGGTGCCCGGCTCTCCTGGATAAGTCGATCTGCTGCTGCCTTAGCCCGACGCACTGGATCGTGGAGTCTGCAGAACAGTCGTGCTCTGCTGTGGGTCTGGGCGGTGTCTGTATAGGCAGATGAGTCAAGGGAGGTTGCGGAGGAAGCAGGGTGGACGGGTGCACAGGGCAGGGCTGTGACGCGTCTTCACGGCTTTCCCAGCACGCTGGGCCTCCCGGCCGCTCTCCGCTCTGTGAAGGGGC